AATTATTTTCAAAATTCATAAAATACAGAAAAACAAAAATATTAAGCAGAAGCAGAAATCAATTATAATGAAAAAAAAAAAAATTAAAATGGTTACTTAAATTACTTTGTATAAAATAAAATTAAATAAAATTTCGAATGAGCTCAAACTTTTTAATATTGTAAATTAGTTATTATTAGGTGAGAGTACAGATTAAAACGAACAAACGAACAGGAAAAATGTATCTTAATAAAGAAGGAATCACAAATTTCCAAAACAGATTTGTACTTAAAATTTTCTTAATTTAAAACCGATTTAAAAAATATTTAAACCAAAACAAAAACCAAAAATATTAAAAAATTTCATTTATACGCATTTGTAGATTTTTCATTAAAAATAAATTTAAATAATTTTAATGTTTTCCTTTATTAAAATTTTAAAATTATATAATATTGTTTAATAACATAAATTTTTTAATATCCCACCGTGAAAAACAAAAAAACAAAGTCAAACATTTTAACAATTTCTCAATAATTTTTTTCATAGTGTAAATACAATACTTATTTGTTAAAACATAAACCTATTCTATAAATTTTATCAAACATTTTTTTGGTATAGTTAATTTCCATTGGAATAACAATCTTTAAAAAATTTAATCGGAAACATATGAAAAATAAAAATATTGTGCTCTAATTTAATAATTATGTAAAAAAAATATCCCTCTTTACACATTTAATATATAAAATGTAATGAAGTTTATTTATGTTTAAAAATTATGCCTTTTTTTAAATAATTTGTATTAATTTTCGATAAAAGTAAAAAATTTTGTAAAACTGAAAACAGTAAAAAAATTAGTATGCATCCGTATGCATTCATAGAAATAAAATGTTGAATAAATATTGTAGAATGAGGAAAAACAAAAACTGGAAATCTTAAAACAAATAAATTTTTGAAACTGTTGAGACAGCTGAAATTCAGTTCGAAAATTAATCGATTATCGGATTTAAAATTAAATCTATTTTAACAATATTCTCAACAAAAAGTACATTATTTCGAAATTATTTTGTAAAACAATGGTATTGTAATTTCTTATGCTTCATAATCAATTCATTTTACATGAATCATTGTTCTTGGTAACATTTATTGTATTGCTATAATAAACATTATTTTATTTTAATTATATTTTTTATATTTGAGTATGAAAACTCAAAATAAATTTTATTTTAAAAGGAATACTCATAGTACTCATTTCTAATTTTTAAGACAATAATTAAAAATGCACTTGCAAGTTATGAATAAATATTTTCTTATTAAAATTTTATTTTTTGTTTTAAAAAAAGCTTTCATTTAATTTTTTTTTTCTATATTTAATTTACAAAAAGGTAATATTGTTCCTAATTAAAATATTACACAATTCAATAAAAAATTACAATAAAATACTCAAAGTTGTGTAAATTCCAAAAGTTCCATAATATAAATATATAAATAATATATATATTTGAGCTAAATTAATGTTATAAGTAATTTTTAGAAAATTTTAATAATAATTGCAAAAATTTAGTGAATAGAAAAATAATTTAGTTTAATCTTACAACGAAAAATGACCAAAAAGTAAAATGGTGTATTAAAGATCTTGAAAAACAAAAAATTTAATTTAACTTTAGTAGAATATTAAAAAGAGTTAATTAAACACCATAATAATAAATTAATTATTCAAAATGACAATGAAAAAATTTAATATTTAAAAGCCAATATTTAAAACATCTTGTATACGCATAATAAATTTCAGTATTAAAAAGTCGAATGATAAGTAAAGGTTTTTATTTTCAAAACCAAAACAAAAATATTTATAAACGACTAATTTATAAAATTAAAATTTTGAAATTTTTAAATTATTTAATTTTTATTCGGAGTATTTATGTATTTTTAGTATCGGATTTCATATTAAAATTTCTAAAATATATAACTACTTTTTAATTTATGAATTTTCTTACATTTATTATTATTTATTTGAAATATTTTTATTATAAGAGTTATACACTAAGTCCTCGAGATACGACATCTTCCAATACGGAATTTCTAGTTACGACATGATATAAATTTGGATCACTTTTATTCGGCTTACGACATTGTTCCTAATACGACATTGAAAATTAAAAAAAAAAAATTGTTTTTTTTGACAGATTTTACTGTATTTTGAATAAAAATCTATACCGAATCTATTTATAAGACAAAACTAAAGCACATACTTCAATAATGAATTCTTTTTTGTTAAAAATTCTAGTTAGTAGTTAAGATTATGAATTGAAGTGATAAAATATCAACTTAATCGGATTTTATTTTTGTTACAAAATTGAATTTTTTTGGTTTTGTTATTATATTTTGTTGTTTTTTTCAAACTTTGTTACCTTTTTTTAAAAAAAAAAACAATTATTTTATAAAACAGTTTGTCCAGTTCACTTTTTGTTTCCATACATTTTTTTTCCTCCTCAAACGACAATTCGAGTTACGACATAAATTTCTGGAACCAAAAATGTCGTATCTCGAGGACTTAGTGTACTTAAGTTAACAAAATTCAATGTAATTTAAAATGTTTTTTTTTTAATTTTCATTATTCGCTTAAATTACTTACAAGCTCTATTTAAAAATATTAAAAATATTTTCATAACTTGGAATGTGCATTTGATCTGACATCTTTTAATCATTAACCCCTATAAACTTACACAATATAAAAGAACTGATTACGAATATAGAACTGATTCTTTATTCAATGCAACGCAAATTTTTAATTCCTATAAATTTAAATATACTGATTTTTATATATACATATATGTATATATATATAAAATTCAAAATTCTTTTTTCAAAAAAGTTAAGAATAAAAATATTTTTTAATTTTAATTATGTATTTTGAAAATTATGCAATTTGAAGGCCTATTTTCGATTAGCAAAACTTTATTTAATCTATTTATAATAAAAAATGTTAAAGTGAAGGAAAATATTTAAAAAAAAAATAATCCCCACCCGACTTTAAAATTCCTGTTCAAATAATGTAAATGTTAAAAACTTAAAAAAAAAAAAAAAAGAAGCAAGAAAACTGCTCGCCTTTAAAATAAAAAATAAAAAGAATAATAGTAGTTTAAATAAACTAAACGAAAAAGAAAATCAAATAAACTTAAGTGAAATCTACTTAATATATAATATATTAATTAATAATATATTAAATAAATATAAAAACCAAAAAAACCAAACAAAAACACAAAAAAAATTATAATATTAAAATACAAATATGAATTAAATATAAAAATACAACAGAATCTCTAATTATCTTTTGTAAATAGCTTAATAAATAATTTCTAAAATGAAAAATGAATTATATTATAAATAATTATATTAAGAAAAATTACATTAAAATTAAATTAAAAACAAAAGAAAATTTAATTGAAAAATAAATGCAAAATAAAATGAAGAAAAAATTAAAAAAAAGAAGAAGAAAGCAAAATTAAAAAAAAAAATTATTTAAAAAAAAATACTTAAAGCAATTGTAAATTTATAAGAGTTTTAAGAAGCATTAATTATGTTAATTAATATTTTTAATTAATTTTCTTTAAATAGTTTTAATTATAATATTGTTTCTAAATATTCTTTTTTTTTTTAGTTTATTTTTTAATTGAGAAAAATCTTTTTTCTCCTCTTCATCCTCCCCAATCCAGTCCAATATACTTAACTTAAGAAAAAAAATACAACACTTAAGAAAAATATAAACTGATTTAAAAATTTTTAAAAATTAATGTTTGTAAGACTGATTTTTGAGATTAAAAAAAAAATACTAAATAAAAATGTAAAATAAACAATTAACTTAAATGCAACAAAAAAAAAATAAAATACTGAAAAAAAAAGAATTATGATGAAAAAACTTTAATTTCTAAGTTAAAACGAAAGAAAAATATAGTATGTAAAGTTAAAAATTTAAATTGTTGTTTTTATTCTAATACTCGTATCTCTTAACATATTTTTCTAGGAACAATATTATTTTAAATGAATTTTAAGATCAACTGAATTTATATACCGAACCGAGCAGATTTACAGTGTTTATTAATACCAAATTAGAGGTCAGTTAACAGAGACGTGGTAGCTAAAATTAGAGAAAAGTGCAATATTACGTTAAATAAAAAATTAAAGTTTTTTAAAAAAGAAAAGCTAAAATCTAAATTTTTCATACAAAAAAAAAGTCATGTGAATTTGAAATCTGAAAAGATTATAGCTATTGAAGATCCATATGAAAAAGGCGTTCTTCTGAGGTTTCCAAATCATATTTAATCATGCGTCTATGAACGAAATTATATTTAAAGTTTTTAAAAAGTAGAAAAAAAAAAAAAAACAAAATTGACTTAAGCTGCTATTACTTGAAATCTATTGAGTTATGAACATTGTCTCCATAAAAAAGTTTCAAATGCCCAATCAGAAGGGTTTAGGCAACAGTAAATAGTAGAAACGGTAAGTTTTGTTAAAATGCGTATGCAGCACGCAAAATATGAATATAAGTCCCAATAAAATTGACAATAGCCCTTACACGCCCTTTTGTCAAGGAGAAAAAATTATGAAATTTCCTTAAAATTTCAAATTCAGACGCTGGTGAACAAGTGAACAAACTGAAGAGCTTTCAACAGAATCAAGGTTCGGAAACTGGACTTTTACTAGCCATCAATTTTAAGTGTTCAATAAGTGTAGGAAATAATAAATAGAAAAATTGATTATACAGCAGATTTTGACGTTTTATAATAACTTAAGGTAAGAACTTAACTTATAAAATATTGTTGAACTATTCCGTTTATTTCTTTCTAAAAATCAGGATAAATACAAAATAAATTTGAATATAGGCACATTGTGCATAGGTATGTATATATGTATATAGATTTGTTCTTGAAATTTTCCAAAATTTGTGAAAATAAATTTAATAATATAAGCCGTGATTACACTCAAAAAAAAAATAAATAAAAATTTAATAAATTTTATTTTTAAGTTGCTTTTTTATTTTACTAATTTTAAAATTAAAAAAAAAAAGTTAAAATAGATACTTTAGCTAATCTAATCACAATATACTTAATCTATATAATCGGATCAGCCGATCCAAAAATCACAAATACAATCCATCCAATTAAATTAATTCCCGCTGCTGTACTAAATACTACTGGCCAACTTTGAGTTAACTCTAAAATATGACCAGCTATATACACTCCTAGGAATCCGGGAATGGCTCCAACGGTATTCATTAAACCAAATACACTTCCAGAATGATCAGGTGCTAAATCTTGAGGATTTACTGTAACTGCATTATTATGGAAACCAGTCCCACCTATTATTATAGTCATGCATGTTAAAGCTGTATGAAAATCTGATGTTCGGCTCATTACAAATAAAGCACAATTTTGTGATAAAAAACAAATACTTTGAATTATTTTCCTTACTCGGGATATATCGCAACTTTTTTTTGCTAATAAAAAAGTCGTTATGTATTTTGCTAAAAATGTTGATGGTGGCAATGCTAACCAAGGTATCATATTAACAATCCACCCTTTGGCTTCTGGGAATGCATCGTGAAAGTATGTAGGTAACCATGACAAAAGTACAAAAAAGCAATTCATTTCGCAAGCATGTGTTAAAACACATGCCCAAAATGAAGATTTATGAAATAAATTTTTCCATGGAACATTTTTTGAATTCTCTTGTGAGATTCTATCAAAATTATTTGTACTCAATTTATTTGGTGCTAATAAATTAATTATTTTTGTTTTACGATTATTTGACATTGTATAAAAGCGTAAAAACATAGCCCAAGTAAATCCTAAGCATCCTATCAGTCTAAATACTGTTGACCATCCAAAATAATCTAATATAAACGACCCTAAAATACCAGTAAATAAAGTTCCCATAGCAGAACCTGACGTCAACATTCCAAAAAAGCTTGTGCGTTCTTCAGGACATAAATTTTTACTTGTTATTGAAATCATACTAGGAAAATGAACTCCCTGAAACGCTCCATTCAAAATTCGTACACATACTATAAAACTAATGGAATTTTCTTCAAAATAAGACGATGAACGTACTATACTTGGCATTAAAAATGTAATTGAAGACCATCCAATTGCTGAACCCAACACAACCCGCTCCCCACCAAATTTGTCACTAATGTAACCTCCTAAAAACTGAAATTTGATATTTTTTTAATTTTTGCTGTAGGAAATGTAAAGCAATAGCATGTGCATTTACTTGTGTTAGTGTGTAACCCCAGAAGAATGAGCTTAATATAGTTCCAGAATCAGTCTTACTCCATTTTTCTTCTACAGCAACAGAAGGAATTAGAAGCGGCATTGTAGTTCTAAAATTTTATGATTCATATATTTTAGTGAATTACTTCATTTCATTTTAAATTTTTGTCGATTGCCTACCTTGTGCTATACAACATGGCAGTACCAGTTAGTAATGTCAAAAACCAGGTTCGTTTTTCATTGCTAAAATAAAGACAATTAAGTATATACCAAACCTTAAATGTACAACAATGAATTTTTTTTTACCGCGACCATAAACTTATTTGTTCGGTATTGCAAAAATCTTTTATCAAGGAATAGTTTTTTAATTTTCCTTCCATTTTGAATTATTATGGTTTTAAGATTTTATTCGTTTAAATCATGATTTTTTAACTACCGCAGCGATATCGCTGCAAGCATGCTGAATATTTTGTTTATAAAAAATTATTTTTTTGCCAACTAGCTAATATAAAACACTTGTTTCAATAAGGATATTTCAGAGGTAAACACTAAATTTTCAATCAGAATTTAATAAAAATATTTTGCTGTCAAAATCAACATATGTTTTTTTATATTGTCAATTTTGTTTATAATTTATTCACAATCACGAAAACGTTTAGCATTGCCAATACACCTAATAGAATAATTCTCATTCAATATTCAATCAGATCTATTAGATTTATTAAAAGTGATCTATTACTATCAGATTTTCTATCAGATCAGATTTTTAAAAGTGATTGTGCTACTATCAGATTTTCTAAAGTGAAATGGCGACAATTAATTTTTTGTGGGAGTTTTGAACAGTGATTAGCTAATTCTTATTTTTGCTACAATTTCGGAATGAATAGAAAAAAAAATACTGGATTTTGATTTATAATCTGAGATCCATTTGATAATCTTAGCCTACTTATTCTTACATCTTTTTGTAGATTTGATTTTAGATTTTTTCGTTTAATATGTAAACGGTCTTAAATTCACAAATTACTATTTAGTTGGAAAATGTATGTACTTGAAACTCCATTCCACATCTTTGAACTTCTGCTTATACGCTATTGTGAATTAAATATTTGAAATTTTGTTTTGTATTGAAAATATTTTTTGTTTTGCTATTACTTCGAAGATATCAAAATTCCGAACGCTGTATTTAAATCAATCGAAATTATTGCTTATTTATTTTATATTTTAATTTGCTAAATTAAAATAGGATGGATTCGGATAGTTTGCAGCAAAAAGCTTTGGACGTACCAGAAATTGACGATTCTTTTGATCCAAATTTTGAACCCCAGGATGGTGAAGAATATCTTATGAAAGTTGTATATGAAAGAAGAACTTGTCCGGCAGTTGTCGTGAAACCTTTAAAAAATGAAACTTCAATTAACATTAATGCAGCTACTCATATTACGGTAAATAAAATGTCTATAATTAAAATATGACTTTAAAATTTCAAGTTTTAGAATGAATTCAATGATTCGTCTCCGGAACATTTGAAGCCAAATAAAATTTGGAAACAAATGCAATTAGAGACATTTAATGATGCTCGTCAAAAGATTAGTCAATTAAGGGAACAGATTGCTAAGCTTCATACAAACAATTTTAATGAATTTCCGTTAATTGAGGAATGCGATTCATGGAAGATATTTTGTCAAGAAAATGAGCCTTTGACACATATTGTTTTAAATATATCTCAAAGAGATCTCGAAAAAATATTGGAGTATCAATCAATTTGGTTGAGTGCAGAAGATCAACCTGTAGAATTATTTGATGGAGGTAATTGTTGGTGGCTAGGAAAATGGATTTATTCTATTTTAGTTTGTTTAAAACTTCCATTAGAACCTGATGTTCATAATATTTTAAGAAATATTGTTAAGTCGTGTGTATGTTTAAGAAACAAGTTAGATTATGATTCGGTAGACGCAGCAACTCCTTATAACTTAATTATTTATTTAATTGCACAGTTTTATGGGCAGTTAGATTTACTACAATATGTTTAATTTTCATTTTTAAAATATGTGTGAAAGTTTGCATGTGGGTGTCAAGAAAATCATTTAAGATCGTTAACGTTGAATTTAAGGTATTATTCTAAGACAACAGTTTAGTTTTCATATTCAGTAGTTTAAACGATGTTCTATTATTAATAAATATTTCATATTCGATTACAATAATAAAAATCATGGAAGGAATCAATAGTTAAAATCTAGTTCATATTTTCATTGCATATATTAAAAAAGAAAAGATATAAATGAATCAAATCATATACAAGTTGATGTATTGAAAATATGTAGGAATGTAGTTGTAAACCCTACAATCAATATAAATTTAAATTGTATATTTTAACAATGTAGTCTGAAACAAATGATACAAAAACTCGTAATATTTAGATAAAATGTAGACTCTTTAAAATAAAAATTGATCAATAAAATATTTTCGACACTTTAATTTTTATAGTTTATTTTTCTTAAAATACATTCAAATTATATATTAGTTAACAATAACAATACTTTAATGATTATAATTAAAATAATAAAATTGTTTAAAATCAGCTTTTTTCTATAATATCATCTCTTAATTGACCCCCACTTGATTCATCTTCGACAACTGATGTATTTGGTTGGTTTGATGAAGTTAATAGTGGTGAATGCTTATTAATTGGATGGCCAGGTGGAGGAGTTCTTAAAATAATTCGTGGTTGAATGACTGGCGTCATCTCTTGTTGATTTATTATATAAGCATCTTCAGGGAAATCATGTTCACAATGATGCTCACCACATATTCGGCATGTATAAATATTTGGTTTCATAGCATTAACAATTTTCTACGAAAAACGTTCAAATATTATATAAAATATTTATAATTTCTTTATGACATACATATTTGTGTACATTTAAAAAAAAAAACTTACATCACAAAAGTTACTTCCAGGTGCACGTAATATATTAATAATAGCATAAGCTGGAATACAAATTAAAGATAAAGAAGCGATTGACCAACCTAATCCATATGCCCATCTGGGATAATAATATTTTCCATTATTATATGTTGGCTCTTTATAATTTATTAAGCTGAAAATCCATAGAGACTAAAAAAATTAATATATAAGTTAGTTTTTATCAATATAAGTATAATGTTGAAAGCTTACGATTAAAAGAGCAGGTCCACAAAGAACCCAACATGTTTTTAAATAATATGCGGGAGCTTTACCAGTCATTTGTTTTACATTGCTTGATAACCTTCCCGCTCCGTAACACCATGCTATGGCTATCACTTGGAAAAATGCTAAAAACATTATTGAGATTGAAGCAGCATAATGATCCATTAGTTGGAAAAAATATATTCCACCCTAATAAAATTTTTTGTTTAAATTATTCTTTTAATGCTTCCAAACAATAATAAGAACCTGAATAATATTGGGTAATCCAAATAAAAAGGAAATTACACATACAATAAGTACGAGTACTTCATGATAAAGAAGTTTTCGCTTTATCCAATTTGGGAATCCATCACGTAAAGAAGTGACAACAACTTCCACAATTGCAAACTTTTTATGAAGAAAAACAATATGAAATATGAAATCAATACAAATTTTAAGTTTTACCTGACTATTTAAACCCAAACAGAGTAACATGAAGAAAAACATAACACCCCAAAGTTGAGCATATGGCATTTTAGCCATAACTTGTGGATATACAACAAATATGAAACCAGGTCCATCGCTAATTACATTTTGAATATCCGTACTTTGTTCTAATGCTAAATTACCTAATGTTGCAAAAGCAAAAATTCCAACGAGTATACTAGTTATTGCATTTACTATTGAAACAGATAGAGTATCATGTAGAATATTATTGTTATATTTATTGTAGCTAGCAAATGATATCATAGAACCAAATGCAATTCCCAATGAATTAAAATTTTGTGATGCTGCATTTATCCAAATGTTGGCATTACCTAAATCTGACCATTTTGGTCTAAAGAAATATTGTAAACCAGTTTCAGCACCTTCTAATGTTAAAGCTCTCCCCATTAATACAATAATTAAAAAAAATGGAAATGTTGCTGTAAAATATCGTACCTATTTTTTAAGAAAAATTAGAAATTTCAAATGTTTTTAATAGAAACAAACTTCTTTTTTTTTAATAAATCTAAGTTGTAATTAGCATTATAGTTCTTACTTTGGCTGATGATTTAATTGATTTCCATGTAGCAAAATAGACTAGTAACCAAGCACAAATTAAACATGCAAATAATTCCCAACGCATTGTTCCAGGATCTTCAATACCAGTACTAATTTGTAAAACTTTTCGTCTACAAAAATTTTCAATATAATTATGTATATGAGTATTTTATAAAAAGAAAATTTGTACTCAAAAAATTCTTCAGATGGTGTTCTTGATGTTTCAGACTTGGTAATATTGGCATGTTGTCTTTCTGGTATCCAACAATCTGGAGTATTCCATCTATGATTACAACCAGTCCATGGTAAATCAGTTTTCATTGATGTAAAAAAATAATAAATTGAATAACCTATTATAACACTATAATATGTTGACATTAGAAATGATACAACAACACTCGCTAAGCCAGCTCCTAGAAAATGAAAGTTTGTAATAAAGTTAATATTGAACTGAATATCAATATATTGTTTTGAAAGTTGAGAAAAATAAAATTTTGTATTAAAAATATTTTAATTCCAGCGGTATTACATTACAATAAATATTTTTGGTTTATATATGTATATATAGAGCTCTTCATAATCAAAGTAAATCATTTCAGAGAATATCGTAAGTTTTCCTTACAATAAAATTTAAATTCATAAATTTTTTCACAAGCTTAAGTGAATATACATACATATGAATGTAAAACAGTGCTAAATTAAAGGATAATTGGAAAAAAATTTCATGTGTTACTTTTTTATATTTAGAGTTTAATATATTTCAAATTTAAATAGACACAGAATCTAACAGCAGTACATGATTAATGTTGAAAACCTCCCTAACATCTCAGCATTCCTTAACATTTTTTACATTTAACTATGCGAGTATGTAAATTCAATTTATAAAATATTTTACATATTTATATTGTATGATAAAATATATCTTAATTAGAATCATTAAAATTCATACATAATAGTTGAAATTGATTGTTTTTTTTTTCTCCCAATTAATCTTTTTCAAATTTGTATAAGAAAGTTTTAATGGTTTGGAAAACACCTACAATAAATGCATTTATTTTTCTCCATTATTCGTAATTAAATTAAATTATATATTTTTTTAAATTTCTTTTATTACACAATTCAAAAACCAATAATAAATTCAATTCATTTAATTTTACATATTAATTAATTTAAAAAAAAAAACTAATACAATGGGAGTGATTCTGGGGGTGCTATTAAATAATTTAATTTTTTAATGTTATTTAAATAAGATCTATAGTTTTATTATATTCATTATTCTATTAAAATTATTCGCTCTTTTATTTATATAAACTGAATTAATTGATTAAATTTGAATAGTTAACCATATTTTGAAAATATACAATTGTGTTAAAGTTTATAGCACAATCAGGGTAGATTTAAATAAAGATTTCTAGGCTTAATATTAAAAAAATTATAAGGTATGTGTATAAGATCTTCTCAATCTTCAATTCAATCTTAATGAGATTAAGAGATAGAACTAGAATTAGACATTCTTGGTTGGTTGACGTTTCCGTCACGAAAGGTGCTAAGCGTTCGAATTAGCGCAAATGTGCCGTTCGGTTACCACCATCCCGTGCCTACCAACAAACAATTACAGGTGGCCACAGGATCATTTACCTACAGGTTTCATTAAATTAAACCAAAAAACAAAAAAATTGAAAAAACTTTTCATTTGAAAAATTCAAATCATATATTTTTTTTGCTTAAATCAAGATTTCTTAATTGTAAAATTAACTCCCGCATACCCCAGTGGCAGTATCTCGGGTTGTGTATTGCGATTGTAAGTAATTTGTGATTTGTAAATTGATAAAAACGATTCTTGATTTCATTTAAAATCTAGTTGGGCATTTAAAAACAGATTCTAGATTTATTCAGTTTTAATATACGAGTATACATATATTATGTATAAGCATGTCTAATCCAAATTTGAGTGTCTTTTTTATTTAGTTGCAATGATTATGATAGAATTTTTTAAATATTTACTGAATCGGAAGTTGTAATATTTATTTTTGCTATTTCTATTAAAAACTGTAAATAAAAGAAATTTTTCTTAAAGTAACTGGGCTACCCTTTTAATATTATTTTATGATCGTAAAAATGGATCATTTGGACCGTTCTACCAATCAGACTCTAAAAGTTCTTGTTTATGGTCATGCAATTGATTATATATCAAACAGTAGCTTGAATTTCTATCGTTATTTATAATTATTTTTTGCAACTATAAAATTACACGGTAGTTCTTGAAATACGTTTTTGCCTACTGTAAGCCGCGACAATATACGATACATAATACGTATAAATGAGTTTAAAAATATTATTTTAATATTTCCTGATTCACGAATCACAATATAGTTAGCTAGCTACATTCACACATACATATGTACATATATTTTATCATACAATCATACAAATCGAATTCATATGCATCGCAATTAAATTCTATAATTTTTTTTTGTCTGTTAGTCTGTGAATTTTTATTATAAATTGTATTTGATCAGTATACTTTAAAAAAAAATGAAAAATTAAAATATTCTTTTGTACTAATTACAATTCACATTCCGCATTTTATATAAAAAAAAAATATAAGCGTGCAATGAGATAATATTAATTAAATAAATTAAGAAAATATATAAGATTTATAGTTCAGGAAAAATAATAAATTTTATTCTAATTGTATACATATTATTTGCATATGTTTGTATCTAAATATGCATTTACATGTATGTATATGCATATGTACGTTTGTTATATATTATTTTAAATAATTATTTTTTTTGCATAGCGTGGGCATTTCAATTTATTATTCAAACAATTGACAATGACTTTATTCTAATTTTAAAAACATTTAGTTATCAACGCCATCTACTGTTTCATTTGATTAATCTAATTCAAAATGTGATAGGAGAAATTTTCATACAAAAAACGATATTATCACATTATACAGCTACAAGACAAAGAAGAAGGGAACATTGATATATTGGACTATAATGGGGATTAATCAGTGGTTTGGGGCGAGAAGTGCGAGAGTGGTGATATAAAACTACAAAAAAAGCATTGTAATCGTTTTAAATTACATTTCATACTGAAATTTTTTTTAACACATTAAATATTCACACTTTAATGTATTCTCTTTTATATTTGCTTGTAGGCATACAAAATGTGCATATGGTCAACTAAAAATTATGAGCATGAGGGGGATTACATCTGAATTGGATTATATATTAGATACTTTTATTTTAATTTTTATATTTTAGTTTGTTACTATAATACATAATATAGATAGAGTGACAAGAATAAATTGATATGGAATTGTGATAATTTTAATGTGTGATTTGCTTAAATTGAATGTCATGGTATGGCCAGAATCATCAATAATCCCACTTACGTACAAATAGAAACGATTTACTTACAGATTTCATATATGGGGTGGTGTTAAAAAAGAGTGTGTTGGAGTTGTATATTTTTTTTAATTTCACTTTAATATTTTTCAATGTCAAGTGCCACCCTAATAAAATTTTTATATTAATATTTTTTGTCCGTTTTTTTTTGCTTTTCTTTGCTTTTTTATATTATTGAAATAATTTTAAAATTAAGTGATGAAAATTATTGTAAAATTAGAGGATTGATCATTTTTCTAAAACGTGTTGATTAGATTTAAAATATTTTTTGTATACTCGTACATATATCTATGTATGTATGTAAGGTATATTTACATCTAGTAAGAAGTGCAAATTATATGCACTGTGCAAGCAAGCAGCATTCTATTGAAAAGAAGAAAGCCCTACCTTTGCTAAAGTGCGTGGGAAGTGACAAAACATTCATGTATTATAGGTAGGCACTATAACAAAGTGCCATTTCGAGTTAAAGGAACTTATTTTTTTGATAAAAATAAAAATTTTTGATTTTGTATTTAGCTTTTTAGTTTATTTTAAAAAGCAATTAAAAATAAAATCATACCTTTAAAAAGCGGGCATATTTGACCTAAAGCTGCAATTGGTCCACGTCCTGTATACTGACCTACAGCCAATTCCATATATAACATTGGTGTACTACAAATTATTAATATTATAAAATATGGTACTAAGAAGGCACCTAAAATGAAAAATAAAATTAAATAATTTTAATGAATATTGAATAAATTATTCTGCTTAAATTAAGAATGAAGAGTAAGTCTTCAAGATTTGTGTTTATCTAAAATTAGGCTTCATATTGGATTAATTGATGATTTTAATCTTAAAGTGTGAATTAAAAAATGTTTAAAATTAATTTTGTTTAGAAAAACTAATTTTAGTTGACTATTAATTTGAAACCTTTAAATTTATGTTATTAAAAATTTTTAATTCAAAATTAATTTCAAAATTTTATTTATTTTACAATAAGTGTGGAAAACCAGTAAACTGAATCCAGTGCTTAGTATTTTATACTACTACACATACTAAATACTTTATAGCCACTTAATAACATTCAATTAACAATAATAAAACATTTAAATTTTTAGTTATCAGTATTCGAAAATTATTTCCCATTATTTCCCAATAATTTCCCATTATACAAAACGAACATGTAAAACAAAATGATTGGATTAAGTAATTTAAAAATAAGCTAGAAATAATCTTTAAATCTCTTTCAATATAAAATTTATAACCAATTTAATATTTTTAATTATAGCAAATAGGGGGAAAAGCAAAAATTTGCACGGATTTTGTGTTTTAATTGCTTTAATTGATCATTTTTGTTCTGTATAATTTGTTTTTTTTTTCCAATTTTTCAAATTTTGTAATTAAACTCTAGTTATCACATATGTATATATATATATGTAAATAATAAATCGAAATACAAATAAGAACATTTATTTACAAATTATGTAATTGAGTTTCAATAGAAAGTACATATGTACGAGTATGTAATTGAAAAGGCAAAATTTGTAGAGATATGTTATAGAGTTCGGGTATATATTCTGATGTAAAATACGGAATTTTTTGCGATAACCATGACAGACAGTTAAAAAACTAATGAAATTAACTATATATTTTAACAATTTAATGATATTGTAAAATGGGTTTTTAAAGGTATTTCTAATATCGAGGGCTAATTATCAAAATTCCCTATACAACATAAGAAAAATTGCAATTATTAGTAGTAAAAACCTAAAAAATTTATATTGCTAGGAATTTTGAAGAGTACAATATTTTTCTTTTAAATTACAGTCTACATTTTATCATATTATTTGCAATGAAGAGTAGTGAATTAAATTTTCCGAATTTTTTAAAATTATTTCAAAATTTTTAAAATATTGGATAGAGGGTTTTCCCCCCTATAAGACCCCAATATGAAAAATAAAGATGTAAATATTAAAAATATGGAAGTTCAGCAAAAAATATGCGTTTCATAACTTTAAAGTTACATTACTTAATGGGACTTATTCTAAGAAGTGAATTACACTAACTGACTGTGAAATGTTTTTTGAGTAAAGGAATTTTTGATATTTTTATTGATATTTCTATAAAACGATTTGTGTCCATACTATAAATTATATAATTCAGTTTCTATGCTACTTACAATAAATATCACTTACTGAATTGTTTCTCAAACTAAGCCCTAATAAATATAATATAAATTGGTTTCTTTAACAGTGGTGAATAACAGTGTCAAAAATTGTTAAAATCATTTAGAACAAAATATAAAAATATAAATATCCACATTTTGTCTTACTAGATAAATGAGAGATAGATAATCTAATATTACAGTTTAAAATTACCAAAAATTTATTACCTAAGGGGTATGATTTTTTAAACATAAATTCCTATTTAATATTTAAAAATGCGAAATTTTGTAAAAGATAACAAATTACAAATTGCATGTTTTATAAGTTATAAAAAACAAGTTTTTGTTTAAAATTCTCATTGAAGATAACGTACAATTCTCTTCAATACACACATTTTACTTAATATAATATTTTAGTGTAAACTAGAAAATTTGGTGAAGAACAGTATTAGCTATCAAGGTGAATTGCATGATTAGAAAATAACTTTGTACACAGTAGTTTTGATATGCTTGTAACATGTAATTTAGCAGGTACGGTGTACTCATTTTAAAATACATAAATAAATATTGTGTGTATATTTATGCACATTTATTTTAATTTATGACATCTTGCTCTCTTTAATTGTATGTATAGAAACCGGAAAATGGCAACAATTTGGTCGCTCGTGTATGTCGCTTATCATTTAACTGTACTTACACATAATCTTCTAAATGATAAAATCATCAACACGTTTTTAAAAACATACATACATATGGACATATGTTTTGATTGTTCTTAACAAGCTTAAAACTTTTCAAAGATCTGTCAAGATTTTTGTTTTATAATGATTAATATAAGAATTTAAATTTAGTTAAAAAAAATATTATGTATTTTCATAAATGTATACACACAAACATACAGATATGTAAAGTCTAGATATGAAGACGCCACACATAGTATTAAAATGAACGTAATTATCTTGTTACAGAAGTTTTGTCAAATATATTTATTTAAATAAAAATAAATTTAAAATTTACATACAAACATAGGTACTTAAATATATTGGTAAATTTTTTATCTGTGTGCTGTGAAATTCAAAATTAACTTTAATTTATAAAATTCTTGAATAATTTTTCAAAATGACAATTCAGAAATAAATTCAGAACATTAATGTATCTAATTTTAATCCAATTTAGGTAATTAGCGTAAAGTGATATGCAGGAGTGCTAATTTTTATTCAAGTAAAAAATTGAAAATAATGTAGGTAGTCAGAATTTTTGCTAAATAAATTGGACAAAATTATGAACATTTTTTATGTCAGGTAACGGACGAAAAAATTGAACAAAAAAAAAATAATACTCGTAAAATTACCGCCTTCATTTTTTATACTTTCGTTGAGTTCATGGCGGAAGTACTAAATTAAATCTGCAAATGCAAAGAGTTTTCGGTGTTTTTCTTCTTAAATGTCAAATAACTCTGCCGATTTGTTAAACGACCCTAGTTATATGTATGTAGTTGAATTTTAAATTGCCAAAAGGAAAATGCAAGATTGAAGGCTTTTGTTTTTTTCAGGAAAAATTGAAATATTTTTGTAAGTATGTGTTATTCTTTAATCACTTCTTAATTTTTTGCACATTTATTTCTTTAAGGATCATAATTATGAAGGAAATTGGAAATGGTAGCGAATTCGATTTACTTTGTTCAGAAATTGATGCTGGAATTTAGCGTGTTAAATATGGCACTACATTATGTAGTATGGTTGCAGTACAGCAACTGCTCTGATTTACACACGTCATACTTACTGTTGCAGATTACAAATCATCAACTCAACCTTTCTTATTTTAAATATTTGATGTAATCAGAAATATATACTAGGTATTATTCGTCTGATAATATAACCTCTTTGAAATTTTAAATTATTTTTTAAATAGGAAAAGTCTATACGTGTGCATTTTTTTCTAAATATTTATGCTTTTTGGCAATAAAAATTTCATTAAAATCCTTAATATTCTATACTAATAACATAAAATAAACAAATAATAAAAAAATACATACCGCCTCCACTTTTATAGCACATATAAGGGAATCTCCAAACATTTCCTAAACCGACTGAATAACCAATACATGCTAAAACAAATTGCATTTTATTAGCCCAATGTTGTCGTCTAGGTTTAAGTTGTGATCTTTCTGGATCAAATGCATAGCCAAAACTTGAACTATCGTCATCATCTTCTTCAGGTGGTCTATAGGTGATATAAATTTGGATTAATCTTTTTATTATATTTAAATTCAAAAATTCTAAATAATAGAAAAATAACAAAAGATTTTAAGTTGGTTAAAGTCATCATTTATAATATTTAATAAAATTGATTTCAGAAAAATTATACTACAAATATAATTTTATGAAATAATTTTACAAATATATTTTATATTAAAGCAGCGTGAGTAGACTTGAGTGAGATCTAGGTACATATTGTGAGTTGAGAGTTGTAGTAGTAGTAGTAGCATATAGTACATATAAACAGAATGACACGCGTTCATATGAATTTTTCAAAGAAACTCAAACAATTTCAAATAAATTTTTGGAGAATTTCCAAGTTCCGAAAATGTTTTGCTTAAATATGTTTGTTCCCGAGATATGCTTAAATTATTTTTGAAATTATGTGACGAATAACTCAAGAACTTGCACAATCTAACTCTTTTTGATGAAAATAGTGCCATTATTACTGCATTTGGAGCTTGGGTTTACTGTATACGTTTAGCCTTAAAATTTTCTTACACATACAAGTTTCCGCTAACATTGTTCTTAGGATTTTTTCAATAGATTATACATACATATGGAAAGTAAAAAGAAGTGGAGTACAATAGTATTTTCGTAAATATCTACTACTTACTATTTACGTACATTACACATACTGTATTTTCATTCAAATTTATGTACATATGTATCGCATATGTGAAAATTAATTTTTAATCTATGTACACAACTCAAAAACATTTCTAATATTTAAAAAATCTAATTTTATTTTTATAATATTTTAATAAGATTATAAAGTTTAAATTTAAATTATTGTAATTCAGTATAAAAGCTCATAGAATTAAAAACCAAATTCTAACAAATTGAATTAATAATGATAATTTGCTTTTCAACATACTTATTGCGTGCTTATTTATTCTACTAAATAATGGCAAATTAATTCAATAAATGTAATTTTTTCCTTAAATAATCATCAACTTACTGTCTAAAGAGTGAAGTATTTAATTCTAATACAATAATCTACTTAAAAAACAAAATTTTATATTTGCTATGCGATACAAAAAATGTAGTAAACATATTCGATAATTAATGAAGAGTGACGTTTTCATATGATAGTGACCAGCGGTATTGCATATAAAAACGAACAATGTGTGATAATTTAAAATATTAAATATGAAATTCAATTTAATTTGGATAAGTATATATGAGGTTATGTATATTTATTTGGAAAAATAGTGTCGATTTTTTGAAAATATTCAAAATTATTTAAAATCATATTTATATTTTTAAGAAAAATTAAAGTTTAATATAAAATATTTTTCTATTGTTTACTTTTCTTAAAATATAAAGAATTTTTTACTAACGATTGTTATTGTGGATCTTCACAGATTAATGCAAAAGGTCGTGTATCAATGCATTAATGTATCAGAGCAAAGCTTTGCATTGCTACAACAACAATTTAAATGTAAAAAAACGTAGTGTAAATTTAAATATTTGCTTCCGAGCAAAATTTTCAAAAGCAACATTTAAAACAAATGTTATTCTGATTTGAATATTAATTTAAAGTTTTCTTGTTGTTAATATTTTACAAAATATTAATTTATAAATAAAGAAAATAAATTTTCTTAAAAATTTCTGGACAGCAAAATAAAAAACATATGATTGACAATTTTTTTTTTACAATTTTATATTGGAAATTTCCATCGGTCGTTCACTAGTTGGAGGAAAATTATTTTATTTTTCTTTATTTTGGATTAATCAATAAGTGAAAACCGCTATTGAGTTACGATATAACAAAACTATTCTTATTATAACTTTATAACAACACTATTGTAACTTTTTATTTTTATTATGAGCTATAAATGCATATACAAATTAAATAATTTTGTTTTTAATAATTAGTTGATAGTTGATTGAGTCTTGATTGAAATACTAATCATATAAATATTTAACTTCATGTAATGCAGCTACTAAATATTTTATATTACAATTTTTTAATGACAAACAATATTGCCGATATGGTCACACCATTTCAAATATTGCAATTTGTTTGTTTTTATTATTTGTATAGAAAGCCTGATTTGAATTAATTTTGACAATAAATTAATACAATACTGAAATGAATAAATGAATGAATGAATTAATTAATTTATGAATGAATAAATGAAAGCCTCCTCTTATGAATTTGTTTGATTTTCCAATTAAATTAACGCCATTTTTTAATTGAACATTATTTATTGCATGCTATAAAACTAAAATTTAATAATAACTAATTTTTAAGAAAAATTATATTAAGATGTGCGAATAGCATTGAGTAAAGAGGGTGAATGTGAGCTACTAGAAAAAAGTAAAATTAAATTAATTAATTAATTTGAACAAGCTATAGATTATGGTTTGTATATCTTATATGTAGTCCCAGAATGTATTAAATATTGCAATAGTAAACAGCAGCTGATCAATAAAGCTGAGAGTATTCAATAGCTGCGTCAAATCGGAAACTTGGTTCGTACGAAAAAACATCATAGAGAAACTACAAAAAATTCTAAAAAAATGCCTGCGAATTATCTGCAACGTACAATGGCCCTGTGAAATCCACCATCAAAAGGAGAAAATGGAAATGGATTGGATATACACTCCGAGGGGCACCGAGTACAATATATAGCGCGGCAAGCGATGGAGTGGAACCCATTGGGAAAAAGGAGTGTGGAAAGACCACGACTAACGTGAAGGTGAACAATCGCAAAAGAACTGGCGACAGCTGGAAAAACTTGGGCAGAAATAAAAATATTGGCGGAAAATAGAGTTCGATGGAGAAGCTTTGTGGAAGCCCAATGCTCCCAAAGGGAGTGAAATAGGAAAAAAACAACAGCTGTAATACGTTATGTATTGCGAATTCCAATCAAAAATTAAGCTTTTTGTTTTGTAAAATTTTAAAATTTCTTTAATTTTGAAATTTCGGATATTCAAAGAGGAATTAAAGATCCAGCATAATCAATCTCTTTTTTCGAGAAAGAATGTCTATGCCTTGAAAACATTTGTGTGTATTTTTAAACTCTTCTTGAAAGAATAATGAAAATCATATTTAGATTCTTCTTGAGACAATTACATAAAAATATTTCTTTATCTCTGAATTTATTAGGTTGTTAGTAACTATTATTTTGTAAATAACTTCAATTTTTATTAAAATGTTAATTAATTATTGTTGTTTATTGAAAATAACGTATGTATGTAAATGTTTGGAATGTGGATAGTTGTACTCTTGATTAGATAATTTATGCTATTTGTAAATTCACTGTTTCAGTTTGTATTAAATACAAACTCAAAATTTTATTGGAAACTGATATTTTGCGAATTTACAAAAATAAATTTGGCTTTCATTTGTCAACTTAACTATATAGAATAAAAGCCAAATCATGCGTACGTAAAGTTGCAGGGGGGCTATATGGTAATTTTCAATGTATAAGGCGCCGAATCTACTATATATGTAAAATAAATATTTCCAACGGGCGCCGCAAAAGAGGAGCGATTAATTTTGCATTTTTTTCCAATACTTACGATGTTTTCCATAAATTTTTTTCTTTCTATTTTTCGGAAAACGTGTTTTGCGCCAAACGGGCAGGATGTATACAAAAACAAAAATTTAAAATACAACCTTTCCAAAGATGAAAACAAATTTCATATGTCATACGCATACTACTTTTAAAGAAAATTTCGAACCAGAAGCGTTTATAGGGTATGCAAAGATTTTGAGCCCCCTATTACATAAACCGAAAAAAATTTATGTAGAAATTAAAGATTATATAATTCTAGAAATTCGTAGAAAAAAAATTTTCCCTTTAAAGCAAAATTTCTTCGCTATACTGAGGGTTATGTCGCTTATATAAACTTACATTTTTGCTACTCTCATAAAAGATTTTTCAGAAAATTTTGTTGGTGATGCTAATGGATCCATATTATCTTGATTAATATTAATAGAATGTGGAGGCATATTGCTTTCAAATAGATTAGCAGAAGCAATAACTTCTGCGGTTAAGTGAAATGATTGTCGCCGCACTTTTATTAATTCAATTTATATGAGAAATCACAATTTGATAATTTAATTTATTTTTATTCCAATTAGTTTTTATATTGATATTGTCGCGTAAATTAAAATAATTTTCTCATAATAATTACATAATAATTATATAATTTTAAATTTTATTAATACATTTTATTTATAATTCGTTCGTTCGAGATTAATTTAAAAATATTCAATTAAATAGATTTTTTGTTCTCTTTTAGAATAAGAAAATCACTACACTTCTTGTATATAGTTCATAATTACACGCCGTAATCTGAACTTTAATATGTTCACCTGAAAACTGGTATTATTTTATTTCGGAAAAAAACAAAAAACCTTATGATCGAATTTATTCAAAAAATATTTAGCAATATATTTATGTATTTTGTTTATTAATAAAATTTATTCAATTATTATAGAACTTATTAATAATATTTTAAATATGTGTTAATTTGATACGTTAAGAGGGGCAAATATATACACGAGTATATTTATTTAATAAATGAGTTTAAATGAATTTTTTACAAGTTATATGTGAATTGAAATGGCAATCAAAATATAAAATTTTTGTTTGGAAAAATATTAAAGGGAATTTTAATTTTTAAATTTTATGTAGTGATATTCAAGTGAATAGCAAATATTTTTAATGGAGAAGAGAGAAAAAGAAAAGCTAATTAAAAATAACATTTCGCGAAGCATATAGCAAAAGATTTGGCATTTTGAAATTGTGAACAAAAATTAAATTTTAATTGTGTTTCTAAAAATTTGAATATTAAAAATTTTGCAAGCAAAGAATTGGAACTTGTTACAAAATGGCTAAAAATTTTAGGAAATATAGCGAATTCAAAATTTGTGAATCCAGGACTAATATTTAATCGTTTTCGATCTGGTTTCGTCAAAAAGACTGTAGAGTTCAAAATTATCTT